AGGGGGGGGGGGGGGAGCAAACCCGCGGCGTCTCTTCACAAGGCGTGGCTGTGAGCAGGCGGGCCAAAGAGCTGCGGCGGCTCACCGAGCTGCGTCATCCCGCGCAGCGCAACAGCAGGCTCGTCACCGTCTTCTGCCGCGGCGGCCGCCGGCTCTCTGGTCGATCGGCTGGAGAGCATTGGGCTGGAGCTCTCGCTCTGCCTCATCGACGCCGCGATGGACGGAGCCGCCGAGTCGCCAGTGTCGTCGCCCGGCGGCGGCGCCTCGCCCCGCGCCGCTGCAGAGGATGCGTACGTGCCGTTTGAATCCGCGCCATGATCTGCATGCAACACGCAGATTACCGATCGAGTGCGATCATGCTTCATGTGGGGGAGCGTGTGCCTGGACGTTCTTGTTAGTTAGTTATCGAGTTGTGGAGGACAGAGCCCGATGTGGAGGCTCTATGACTCGGACTCCGCTGTCGAGTACTCGCACACACACACACACACACGACTAAAGCCGTAGGTCCAGCCCTGGCCCCTGGGTGGCGCAAGATCTGACGTTCTGTGACAATCGTCAGCTCGGTGTTTTTCTCGATTATTTTTGACGTTGTTTTGTCGCTAGCTCCGCTCGCCACCTCACGCTCCGTAGTCCGGCCATGGCCAGTACCCCGCGTCTCAGTGAGTCTCGCGTGGTACCATCCAACTCCGGTCGACAGGCTCGAATGCGCTCAGCCTCAGGAGACAGGAGGGAGACAAAACCACGCAAATTCTGCACGCCTCGCTGCGCCGCTGGCTTGACTGAATGTATCAGGCAGCAGCAGGCTGCTGCTGCTGCCACAGCAGCAGTCTGCTGCGGCCCTAATACGCAAGTTAATGACTAGCAGCACTGCCGGGGGCATACGAGCCGCCACAGCCGGTGTGCGGCCGTGCACTGCCACCTGCCCGCGGCTACGCACAACGTGCGCTCGCATTGGATGAGGCCTGCTGATGGACCTGCGTCGCCTAGCTGCACGAGAGCAATGCCGCAGTCGGTGCAGCTGCGAGGTGCAGCAAGAGCACGTCGTTCCTGCCTCTGATGCCACTCTTCGGCCCTCCCTCCGCCTGCAGGCGCGGCTCAGCAAGGCAGCCGGCGGCCACATCCGCGCCAACGGCTACAGCTACCGCAAGAAGATCAACCTCGAGCTCGCGCGCATCCGCCGCGTGCGCGACCTGCAGATGCGCGGCGTGGCGCTCGTCGGGACGGCGATTGCGGCTGCGCTCATCTCGACCTTCAACTACCTCTACTCCGTCGCCGACGGCGTGGAGCCGTGGTGGCTGCCGCCGGCCGTCGTGCTCGGCGTCCTCTGCGTCCTCCTTCCCGCCGCGGCGGTCCTCGTCTACCTCCACCTCCTGCACAAGCGCAAGTCGGCGGGCTCGAGGCTGGGCGGCGGGCTCGGGCACGGCGCCTGAGCTTTCTCCACCGACCCCGGGAGGAGGGCCGCGCTTGGCCCTTAGTTCCCTCTCTGCCGCCGCCGCGGCCTGTGCAAGCCTTGCCTGAGGGCTCGAGGCTGGGCGCGGCGGGCGCACAGGCGCTACGGACCTGAACGCGCGGGAAACGGGGATGTGACGCACTCTAGCGCGTCTAGGCTCTGGGCATGTCCGTCTAGGGTACCATACTTCCGGGCCGGTGTGCTATGATGTAGAGCGTAACATACTTCCGGGCCGGTGTTAGGGGCAAACACTGAAAACGTAACTTGATCGGGGCGCGGTTTTTTTTGGACTAGACTGCTCGGGGGAGGTGGGCGAGTGATTGGGTAGCTTTGGGGCCACCGAAAACAATGAGAACCGCCCCCTATATCTCGCCAAATCTCGATTTTTCTCGGGAATGGGCGCTTCTCAGCCCCGCGCGAGCTACAGTGACTCCCCAGGGCTTGTCCCATGGCTCAAAATGCTACCCCGAGCTCCGCCACGAGCGTGGGCAATCAGGAGACACCCGTAGTCACGGTGGGCGAGGAGTTGGGTGACGGCCAACTATCGATTACGGCGCCTCTGGAGCCTCCTGTATCGTCAGTTCGGCTCGAAGATCGTGCCGCATCCGCATGTAAACCTCCACCTCCGCGCCCCCGCTGGCACGTGCCCGCATTGCCCGAGCCTGGGAGAAGTTCACAGTGCCCGGAGGCTGCACAGGTCCGCGAAACGCTGGCGCTGCAGCTCCCGGCGCGCATCCCAGTTTCGCGAGGCGAAACTAACAGCCGAAACGGGTCGCGCCGCGATCGACCCTCAGCGAGCCCAGGCGAGCCTGGTAATCCCACCCGGTGGTAAGCGCACGTCCTCCGCGTAATCTAGCGCGCTGTGCAGCCCGCCAGTGCATGGCGCCGACCTGGGCCGACTGGTCGATCTGGCTAGTTCCAATTCACTTTGACACGCTAATCTTGAAAACGCGTCCAACGGAGTTCCGTGTTGCTCCCAGCGCCCTCCCCCGCGCTCCCTGCGGCCATGTCCGATGATACTAGTATGGGAGGTCATCTGGCTACCGCGAGAGCGACCCAACTCGTCGACATCGTCCGATGATGGTGCCTCAAAGTCAGCCTCCGGAGGCTATCGTGGCGTCGAGCCGGCGGTGGCCGTGACATGTGGTTCCACCACCCCTCGTAGGCTTTGCCTCTGATCGCCACCGTTCCCAGGCTGCCTAATGGGATGGAAAGGAAGGCTTGGCGAGCATATAGAAGCGTGCTCGACCTCGTCGTGGCAACCTGCACGGCAGCGCTGGCAGGCGCGATGAGCGTCGTGCCACCTGACCCGAGACG